AAATGGTGCTAAACTTTGTTTTTCTGAATACCATCTTTGGATTTTTTTGTGGAAAGTCATTTATTTTTAATAGTCTTCACATAGATGAGAAACCCTTCCAAATGTATTATACTAACCTTCTTGCATTTATTTTCCAAGATGGAGCTTAGGCAATCCAATGAGGGAAATTTAAAATTGTTGCAAAGCAGTGATAGTCTTCATAATGGCCTTCCAAACAAAAAGCAATTGATGTAAGTTTTCAGCTGTAGTAGAGATTTGAAACACTTATCTCAGTTATATCCTCCAAAGACTTGTGATGTGTTCTTTTGGAAGGCAAGAAATGGACTGACAAGGAGGTTCACAGAATCTCTTCTCTCCCACTGCTAGTTCTGCAACTCCTTTTCTCACTCATTGTTTTTATTTGTAATTATATAAAGCTGTTATACCACTAGGGGATTTGAAGCCTGATGCCAGAAACATTGCAACGTTTGGCAACTGTTTTACTGCTTGTTTCTTCTTTTCCATTTTCATTTTCCCCTAGAGTGGGAAGGTAGGGGTCGTAGAGATGAGAAAAAGAAAAGATTCCTGACTGGGAATTAAATCGAAGCAGAAGTACACAGTGTCTTCAAGTATTGCTCTTTTTTGCATGAGTTTCCTTTAAGATTAAGAGAGTATAGCATTTTATAATTAATTGTGGTAAAATAAGGATGGAGTTGGACCTTTTTTCAAGGTCTGAATTTAATTTGAATGAAATGTAACACAATTGAGATTGGAAGAATGTGGTTAACTTTTAGTTTTAGATTTGTGTGTGTGTATTTGAACTAGATGCAAAAAATGTCAACATTGCTGAATAAATTGGACATTTCTTACAGAAAATAGGTTTTACTGACCATTTAGTAAAAGAACTTGTGCTTGAGACTGCCACACTGATGCTGCCAATTCAAGTGGCCTCTGAGCTCTTTCCTGCAGGAATTCCATTTTTTTCTTTCACTGAATAACTTTTTCTTGCCATCTTTAGAGCAAATCTGGAGAATCCATATCCCTTCTCCTCCCCAGCACTGACCATCACCACCATTACCACCATTGTTACCACCACAGATTCAGAAATGGTTTCTAAGTCATTTGCTTCTCAAATTTCCTATTCTAGAACCCCACCAGTTTGCATCTGGTGATATCTCCAGAAAGAAGAAAGAAATAGAAAAAACAAAGTTACCAACTTTCACCTTGGATCGTCCATCTAATTCCATATTGTCTTTGCTTTTGAGGGCATCCATGGAATATGAATGGTTTATATCTTACATGCCGACAAAAGGCATCAAGAAATTATATTTTTAAAAAAGTGATAGTGTAGAATAGATCTTTGTTAGCAGAATGTATGAGTGTGTTTAGTGATGTCTTAAATTCTGAAGAAAGTGGCATCTTTAGGATAGCCAGATCTGGAAAGAAATTTCTCTCTGGACAAATGAGCTCTAAGGGACATGGTTTTAAGTTCCAGAAACAGATCTGTTTTTTAAAGCAACATTAGATAGTAGCTTATTCTGTAGGGTATCATTTACCTTATGTCTGGAGGCATACAAATGTTTTTGTGTCTGTACATGTACTGGATGTGTGCTCTCTGTAAAAATCATTATTTCCTCTGTTATCTGCTCGTACCCTGCCCAAAATGATTTTTTTCAAACCATTGACATTTCCATCTGATTATTTCAGTTTGATTTGCCCTCTTTTAGTGGTCTATGGGCAGAGGAAACAGACACAGTGGTATCATGTGGGAATGATGTAATCTGGGTCTTCTTGTATTAGCTAGGTTGTTGCTCACACAGCAGGTAGAGATTGGTCTTAAATTCCTTCTAACTCATTAGTGTCTGTCAGAGCTTCTGCTCTGCTGAGCAAACCCTTTGAGAAGCATTTTCCTGTGCAAGACCACATAGGTGGAAGATCTCCCATAGACAGGCCGTGTAAATGTTCCCATTGTGATGTTTCATTGTGCCAATTGCATTGATCTCTGGCACATCAGAAGGTCTCTGTTGGGAGATGCTCTGTCCATCAGAAGAGATTGCCGTAGTCATTCACGTACCAAAAATAAACTAGTGAAGAGTGCACATTGCCCAGATTATAGCATCCAGCAGGATGGGCAACAATTGGGAATGATAGAGCCTTAGTTGAAAACTGAGAGGACGGTATGGATAACAGTGGCAGGGAATAGGAAGATGCAGGTCGGTTGTATTCTGCTTCGGTGGAAGGAGTGACTGGAGTGATGAGAACCCAGATCCACGGACATATTGATGTGTCATCCGCTAATCCGGCCAAACCTTTGAAAAATCACGTCGTGAAATTGAACTTAGTAATTAATGTTAGCGATGGCCACAAGTATCAACCTCGAAAATTTAAAAACCCCTTGACATTCCCCTTTTCCTTACTCTTTGTAAACTTGTTACAATTCAAGATGACCTTTGTTGCTTAAAATTCAGAAATGAACAAAATCCTTTATTTTTGCAAACTCAGATAAAACGGGTTCTCACTAATTATCACATCATGATAATGCTAGTGTGATTATTAGATATGAAAGGTTGATGATCACGGATAAAGGATCAGAAATTCCTGGAGACCATCTTTTTAAATTGTTGAGAGGCCATAGTTTGCATTGATGAAATGCATCAAATGGGACCAACTTCATGGACAAAATCAGATTCTTGGAAGTATCGAAAATCTGTTGAAAGAATAGCAGTGCTGTTATCTGTTCCTTGATTCTTGCCGGTCAGCACTGATTTATAGCTACTCTGATTGTTTTGATAATGATTTATCAATCTCTTTTCACCATAATAGGCCCTTAAATCGAGCATTTGATCCCCAGCCCATTAACTGTAGTTTGTCCTTGTCCAAATACACACACACGTACGTGTATATGTATCTATGTGTAGCCTTCTCTTTTCTCTTCCGCAGTCCATAACATAATGCTGGGGTTATTGGTCGATGCTAAATAGAATTTAAGATTGATTGACTAAAGCTTCTTTCTTTCCTTAATCTTGCTCTATAAAGGCTTTTTGGTTATTTAGTTCAACTCTAAAAAAATAATGTACTATGCATGTTCAAAATCTTATCCCAAGATACTTCAAAAGATTGTAAGATAATGTGTCCCACAGTACAGACCCAAAATTAGATGCATGTGGAGAAATGTGTGTTCCTTTAAGTTTGACTTAAAATTGGCAGCATCTTTCCTACATTTGGAGATATTGTTACAGCTAAAATGGAAAAAAGAATGATGTATGGAGAAGTCACCAAATACTCCCTCTGTAAGTTATTAAGAATTTAAGTGATGTGATGGGAGCTCATCTAGGCGGTGGTTTAGGGGCTTAGGAAACAGAGATAAAGGTCCAGAGAGGTTGGTCTGGGGGAATGTGGAGTATCAACAATAAATTTTGCCTGCTTCACTTTATGCCCAGGGTCAGTTGAGGTGAGGATCATATGCATGTTTTTTTTTCCACCCCTTGCACATCTTTTCTGAAGTTGCCCTGAGGAGCCAGTGGCATACAAACCTTGGAAATACAGGAGCCGGGAAGACATGTCATTATGCAGTCTCTTCTGTGTCTGTCCTTGATCCTATCATGTTTAAGCCCTTAGAGATGTTTCTTCAGGCAGTTTATAGGTGTCTGGTCTCTTAACTATGGCTGGAAAAGTCAGGTGATTCCAAAAAGAAAACATTTTTATATTTTTAATAAGGTTTAAATCAGGCTTCTTTTTCTCAGGCATCAGGTATTCAACCCATAATCATTATATGTGTGTTGAATTATTCTACCACATAATAATTGCTATACTCAATTAGCAGAATGCATCTAATTTTTAAAGTGTTCACATTTTCAGCAGTTTAGCTACTCTTTGAAAACTTGACCTTATTAGTCAAGGATGGGAACTTGGAAGTAATTGGAATCGAAATAGTCACTCCTGAGTGAGTCAAAATTAACTTTATGGACTTATTCTGTACGCTTTGAATTGGAGAAATGTTTTGCATTGTTTTTTGCCGTTTAAGTGAATGCTTGTGGATATATCAGCTAAAGGGTATGACTAATACCAGAATGTAATCATGTTCAAGTCTTCACATCCTTACCATACTCACTACTACTTTTTGAAAGGATTTAGCCTAAAGATGCAAAAATTAAATTTCTAACCATCTGCCATTTGTAACATTAGACCCATTCCACTTTCATAAATGTCCATTTCTAGTTTTACTCAACAACTATTGTAGTCAACACATATGCACTCATAACTTTGTAGTCTGTGGGGGGCGGGGATGGATGCAGTTAGTCATGCATCAGGAAATACTGAAGTTAGGATGAGTGCTCTAACTCTGTAGCGTCACCATTGTGCTTGTAAGGACAGGGACACTTGGTCTCTTTCCCTCTCTGTTTTGCCTTCCATTTCCCTCTACTTTTCTCTCACCCTCTTTCTTTCTTTCTTCCTTATACCTTTCCTCTACTTCTCCTCTTCCTTCCCTCTTGTTCCTCTCTTTCTTCCTTCTTTTCTTCTTCCTTTTGCATGACTGGTGAGTTGAAATAGATCTGACTTTTTTTTTCTAAAGAGGATATTGCATTTTTATTTATATTTTAGAAGAGATTAAGGTCTAAACCTTTCAAACTTTTAATGTGGTGATTGTCATTTTTGCAACTGAGACACAGCAGACTTGCCTGTGGATATAATGAAGCTCTTTGCAAATTATTACTTACTTTCTATTAACAAATTAAACTTTAAGCTTGGTTCTTGGCACATTATTAGGTATTATATTATTATAAGACATTGGAAAGTTTTTTTTTCTTGTAAAAGTATAAGCATTGTATGTTACCTTAAAATGCTAAAACATTGTTCTTCTAGGTTAGAATAACTTTTAAGTGAACATGTATCTTAGTTTTCTTGTGAAATAGTTATAAGGATGTCTCTCTTCATTCTCTGTTTACATCCTGAAAAGTCAGTCCAATTTTGCATCATTTTATCCTTCTTATGTATTTATCGACTTACTTGTTTTAACTTAGCCCTGAGGTTTTGAAGAGTGAGCCCTATGGGGAAAAAGCTGATATCTGGGCTGCAGGCTGCATCCTCTATCAGATGGCGACACTGAACCCTCCCTTCTACAGTACCAACATGCTCTCCTTAGCGACGAAAGTAAGCATATTTAACAGAACAAACTCATCTTGGGGTTCTTGGAGGGCTAGTGCTTTCCCTCTTAAAGGAATACATATGATTTTAAGACATTGTCAAGAGATGAGGTTTATTAAATTATAAATAAAGGTACTTTAACTTTTCTTCTAATAATCACATATCACGCATAGCTTTACCACATTTTCCTATAATTTTAAATTGAAAAATTCATCCTCCCAAATTATATTTAGCAAATTATATTGAGAGTCAGTTCATCTCAAATTCTATTTTAATATAGGTATGAAATTAATTTTATCATAAGTTGAAACCTACATTTTCAGATGTGCTGGTCAATCTATGGTAATTTATTGAGAGAATATGGTATGATATGATATGGTATGATATAATGTAATATAATATAGCATAATTTAATATGATATGATTTGATATGATTAATGTAATATAATGTAGTACAACATAACATAGTATAACAAATTTTATGGTGCTCATTGTTCCTGACTGCTTCAATTTCATAATTTTTTCATGTTGTCTTAAATGTTCCACCAAAGAAAAATATTAACATTTTCCTGGAGAAGATGGGATATATTCCCCCTTTAATCTATTATGTTTCTTTTGCAGATAGTAGAGGCAGTATATGAACCAGTCCAAGAAGGGATCTACTCTGAAAAAGTAACAATTATAATCAGCAGGTAATTTAGTTATGGAGTTTCATGGATTTTTACAAAGAGAGAGCACAAGGGGATCACTCACCCCCAACAGCCTTCTGTATTGATTGGTAAATGATGAAAAAGTGAGCAAGGTATACTTAAACTGTTAATGTTACATAATGATGAATATTATCAGCTACTAATGTATTGAAAATAGTTATAACAATTCAGCCCCAATTATCTGACTAATCTGAGTTTGTTTAAAATTATGTTTTATTTAAACGAACTTCACAATCATCAACAAGTCAGTGTTTCGGTATACAAAAAAGAACCAAAAAAAAGATTGTATACGAAGCCATACTTTGTTATGTGTCATTTGCTTTTAATAACAGTACATATTTAGCTTAACACACTGGTCATTAAATTGCCTGGTTTGCTTTTGTCCCCTTTAAACCTTCTTTTCCTTTTCTCCTATGTGCATTTTAATTGTCTTATTAATGTTGTTTGTTGTTGGTTACATCTCTATTACTACCCACTAACTCAGTCAATCCAAGATAATTTATTAAGCACCTACTGTGTACCAGGCACTGTTCTTCCTTCTCTTTATTCTTCAAAGAAGTCTTCCATTATAACAGACAAACAAACAAGGGAACGAACGAGCAAAGCAATTCAGCACATTGGCCGTGTCTGACGACTCTGTCTCATTCTGGACCCCTCTGGTCCATCACCTCTCTGCCAAAATGTGGACGATCCTCTTCTCGTTGTTCAGCCATTCCCCAGTTGATGGACACCCATTTTGTTTTTAACTCTTTGCTACGTTAAAAGTGGGAAAATAAGAGCCCTTCCCTTCCAAGGCTGTTGTGAGGATCAAATGAGATAATATTTGTAAAGTGCTTCACGGAGTGCCGGGCACGTAGCAAGCACTATACATATTTTAACTATTATTATTGTCTTGGTCAGAGTTATGATGGTTTTCAAAATAGTTTGTTTTTGGAGTATTCTTATTGTAGACATATTTCCCTAAAACTGCTCTTTTCATTGTTGCTTATGATAAGGGGGATATTCCAATACATTGATACTGCATGATTTGTTCAGCCATTCCCCAACCGAGGAGGCCCTCCCTTTCCTATTTTCTTAAAACACTTTGTCTGGGTCTCTCTTTGGCCTTGCACGTAGTAGGCACTTAATAACATTTATTGAATTGAATTATTTGCTTTTAGGGCAGTCTTCTTTAAAACAAAAAAGATAATAGATTCTCTAGAGATGTCGAGACTATCTACATATATGTATGTGTATATATAATATATGTGTATGTGTATATATGTGCATATATAATATATGTGTGTGTCTATGTATGTTCATGTGTATAAATATTCATAATTTCCATTATTCTTATAGTTAGCTATCTGACCATTCGAATAAGGAGGGGATGTAGAGAAGAGTAGGGAATTTTCCCGTGATATTGCTCTCATACTCTGAACCTTGGTAATCTATGGCAGAGAGGTCAAACGCGAGGCCTACAACACTCCTGAGTGCTGCCCAAACTAGCTAGAAATGTAATTGGGAAATATTTAACAAAACAAATAAAATGTATCAAAGCAGATAAAACACTGGTCTGAAAACTAAGTCAATCTGCGTCCCACAGGAATTGTTATGTATGGATGAGCGACCCCGTTTCTATTTGAGTTTGGCACCGCTGGTCTAGAACATACCATTTCCCTGGCAGACTCCCTTATTATCCTTCCTGGAATTCTCTTTGGTTCCAAACTGTGGATTTCTCCAGATCAAGTTTGTCTGCCCTGGTATCTTCCCACTCTCCCTTTCTACACAGACTTGTCATCGATGGCTCCTCAAGTTTACCCTCCTCAGGTCTGCTTTTTCCCTTCCCTCCTGTTGGCACATGGGATGCACATTCATATTCTGTTGTTGTGACACTTCTTTTTGAGTAGTTTTTTTTCCCTGAGTGGGAGAATAACTTAGCAACCTCAAAGAGTCTGGGGGAACAAGGAGATAAATCTCACCAGTCCGCCAGCCACCTGGGTCTCTATTTTTACCCCTTTGTAGATTGTTGGGTATTACTGTCTGTTTACTTTGCCAATTCATGTAAAAGGAGATGGGAAAATGTTTCCATTTCTACACAAAATATTCAGATCACTTTATTCTTTCATCTCTGTTCTGGGTTACATAAGCTCATTGGTATTTTGTTTGGGAAGCATTCATGGGTAGCAAAATTATTCTTTCAAATCATTTTAAAGATAAGAAGATCTTGAAAAATACAGAAGCCACATATTGTGTAGACTTTAAAAATTTATTTGCCCATTCTGTTAAGCATCAAAGTACTCATTTATTGAAAAACATAATAGGTAAAACTGAATGACACTTCCATCATTCTATGCAGGAAATTCTTCTTATAGGGCTTCCCAGAACAAAATTGCAAAGTAGGGTGAGAGGGGAGATCTCTCTCCTTGCTTTTCGCTCACCCCCACCCATACACATCTCAGATTACTTTTTTTTAAGGCAATTGGGGTTAAGTGACTTGCCCAGGGTCACACAGCTAGTAAGTGTCAAGTGTTTGGTCTGACGCCGAATTTGAACTCTGGTACTCCTGAGTTCAGGGCTGGTGCTCTTTCCACTGCGCCACCTAGCTGTCCCTTCAGATTACTTTCTAAGTTGGGTAAGATAATTCAGTTAACAGTCCTTGTGTGGCCTCTGAGGAGTTCCTGCTGGGATTTTTGATACCTGGAAAGGTTACCTCAATTTTACCATTGCAGGTTGGAACCCTTCTCATCCTATGCAATTATTACTTGTATTTTTTTCCTGGATTCTAGTATCTTGAATATTCATTTAGAGTGACAGAGAAGGGAGTTGCTTCAGAGAAATGGGGCTAAGTTTGTTCCCCTGGCAGAAATATTTCTGGCAGTCCATTTCTAAAGTTCTGAAGTTTTGAGTATTAGAGACAGGCAGATTCTACCTCTAAGTCTGTGAGTTGAGGATAAAAACCATATTCAATCAAACTTGAATTGTTTCTAAGATTGGCTCTTAAAAGCATGGCTCCATAGAGAATATGACCTAAATAGAATTCCACTTTAAGTATCTTATATCTCTGTCTATAATGATAGTAATGCAAGCTTCCAATTGCTTTTTCAATTAAGAAAAAAAAAAGCTGCTTCCTGGATGACAACATGTTGGCCAGGAGCATTCTGGACCAATTTGTATTGTCTAAGATTTCAGAATTTAGAAAATTATAATTAATTCAAAATGAAGAGAACATTTACAGGAGGCATTTTTGATGACACAGCATCTCTTTACCCAGCACCAGGTCAAGCATGCAGTCATGACAGCTGTAATCATCTTTGCCATTTAAGTGAGAATTGGATAACTTTTAAATTCGAAAGTGAAATTCAACACTGCTTTATTTGTCTAAACTGAGGGAAAATCTTTCAATACTTCTGCTATGTACAAGTTCATATACTTAACTTTATGAAATAAGAGGTGGTCAAGCTAGCCCTACTAATCCCTATATAACCAGAGCATAATCCCATTGGCCCCGGGCTAGAAGGAAGCTATACTTGCTTCTTATACCCAGGGTCTTAAATCCAACAAACTATGTATCTTAAGAGTTAAAAAAATGAGTGGATTTCCATTGATCAGCCTGTTAATGTGTTGCTGTCTTAAAGTACTTATAAAAAAAACTCATTTTAATTCTACAAAAGAAGAGTTAAAAAATCAAACAGTATCTGTGGTGGTCCAGAAGGGAGAATGATTACAAAACTGATGAATTAGAATTTTGTTTAGATTTGTGCACCTAAAGGGAGCCATGTGTTAGCTAAATCAGTTTCAATGCCTTGATTCCAGGATAAAGACTATGGGTGCGCAAGGGTTCTTGTTACAAAATATGAAACATGGGGTTTGGACATATGAGGGATATTCAAATATGTTTGATGTTATTTGGTAATTGAAGTAAAAATTAGATCTGAGTTTTAACAACTCAACGGACTTGTCAGTAGAAGGATAATTACACCATTAATGATCACTGGAAGGTATAAATATGCTGTGATTGTCAGCATCTGTACTAAGATGTGGAGATAGCTCAGCTTAGTGGCTTTGGCCGTGTTGTTCTTCATGCTATAGAAGTCATGATCTGTGGGGTGGGGATGCAGGGAGGCCACTAGTGGGGGAGGGAAAAGGACCTTCCTCGTTTTACCAGCTGGAGCTCCAGAGACTTGAGACTGCTATACCTGCTTCCAGTCTTCTTGTAGCCCACCTCGCAGACCCCTCACCCTCAGTATCATGAACTTCTGGGACCATCTGCCTCATCCAACCTTTCTAGTCCTGAAGCTTTATCATATCTGTTTATCTCTGCTTTTCTCCTTCAAAACTGTTTTTTGTTGTGTTCATTTTAACCCATTTTTACCTATACTGTATAAAATATGGAGGCAGAAGACACATGATGTGATTAACTGAGGGCCTCCTTGGGGAAGGTGAAGGTGATCTACACGAATCATCCTGTAATTGACCGCTCTTTTCTTAGATGCTTAACTCCTGATGCAGAAGCACGGCCGGATGTGGTGGAGGTCAGCTCAATGATATCTGATGTCATGATGAAGTATTTAGATGGCTTATCCACTTCCCAGCTTGCGTTAGAAAAGAAGCTAGAACGGGAGAGGCGGCGCACACAGCGATATTTCATGGAAGCCAACCGGAATGCTGTCACTTGTCATCATGAGCTGGCGATCTTATCTCATGTGAGTAACTCTTTCTAGATAAGAGTGATGTGCCATAATATGCCAGTTGCCATTTCTAAATCAATTTTGCAATTTATCTTGCAATAACTTTTGGAAAGATATTACTAGTTAACATATTTACATCAGAATTCGTTATTATTCAGTGGCACATGTATTTGTGGACTCTGAGAACATCAGATTCTTGCTACAAAAAAATGAATTGAAACAACTCTACAGAATAAGTTTAATGATGGAATTGCCTTCCCGACAGGCTGGCAGGTAAATGTAGTAGGTTTCAAAGATGGACTTTTCTCTTAGTAGGTCACTCAGATTATAAGATCATAGGTTTAGAGCTGGAAGTGACCTCAGAGGCCAACAGCCTTCTTGTTTTATGGATAAGGAAACTGAGACCTAGACAAGGTTTGGTGAATTGCCTCAGAATGAATAAATAATAAATGGCAGGGCCAGGATTTGAACTTGGGTCCTGAGGTTCCAAGCTTCATGCAGCTTTCTTCTACATCCTACACAGCCTTCTTGACCTTGACCTTTTAGCCTTGTATGAAGAATTTAGTGGTTAGACCTTGACCTTGACCTTGACAGGTATTCATGTCCAGATACCAATGGAACATATTGCTATCCAGTGGTAATCCTTGACTCTAGCTACGTAACTGGGCCAGAGTCTTTTCTGGCTCATATTTCTGATAGTATGATATTACGAGAGGTAGTGTGGAGTAGTGGATGGCGTGCTGAACTTGGAGACTGGAAGACCTGGATTCAGATGCCGTTTCTGATGCTTTCTAGCTGTGTGACCATGACCAAGCTATTTTAACATCTCAGAGCATCAGTTTCCCCATCAGTTAAACTGACATAGTACTTCAGAGGGCTGTCATTAGAGTCCAATGAGATAATGTGTATAAAGGGCTTTGCAAACTTTAAGGCATGATCCAGATATCACTGTTAGAGAATATCTTTTATGTTGCTTCTCCCTTGTAAATGCTTACTCAGTCTTTACTCTTCTTCTACCCACTGAGCACCTCTCCGCTGCCCCACATTTTAACTCTTCAGAGACTGGTGGGGCCATGACTTGACTAGGCAGTCATGACAGCATCACCAGAACAGTGAGTTTTGTTTTGATCCTCAAAACAGCCCTGTGAGGTTGGTGCTGTTGTTATCCCCATTTTACAGATGAGGAAACTGAGGCAGACTGCGGTTAATTGATTGGTCCAGAGTCATACAGCTAGGGCGTTTCTGAGGGAGGAAGCAAACTCAGGTCTTCATAACTCCAAGTCCAGTGGTCTTTCCACAAAATCAACAAAGCCTTGGCGAGCTGTCGACTGAAGGTGGGCTCAGCAAGATGTTGTGTTTTCTGTACTGTCTTCGTCTACTGTGTACCTGCCTTCCCTGTGCCCATGGCCCAGCTCGTACCAAGCTCTTTAATAAATGTTTGTTGACTAACAGTTTAGATGTGGTTTGTTCTAGGATATTGTTTAGAAAAGCAGTCTGGGCCTCCTTCAGACCTTCTTCAAGGATGTCCTTGGTATGTGTGTGTGGACATTATTCGTATGTTCCCTTCTCATAGCCAGTCCTACACACTACCCTCTACAGTGTCCGTGGATCTATCATATGGACCCTTCAGTGAGAGCAGTGTCCTAACTAGGGCCCACAGCCAGGCTCTCCTCTTTTGTCACACCCAAAGACAGGAATTGGCTGTCTTTTTTAGCGTATTCATGTCCCTGAGTAAGCACTTAATAAGTGCTTTTTTCCTCCATCCCCCCTCATTTTCTTTCTTTCTCCTTCCCTCCCTCTTCTCCCATCCCTCTTTCCCTCTATCCATTCTTTCCTTCCCATCCCTCCTTTCCTCTCTTCCTTCCTTCTGTCCCTCACTTTCTTCCATCCCTCCCTCTTTTCTCTCCTTCCTTTCTTCTCCCTCCCCTCTTTTCCTCTCCTTCCTCCCTCCCTCC